TATTCATTCTTTAAGTTTGTGTGAAACTATTTATCTTTTTAAATATTACTTATAATCAATAAATACTTTGCATGAATTACATATCATTGACCCTTTCCTGCTCACTTACAAAAGCTTATTTTATTCATAAAGCAATTCTTGTCATATATACTTATCAATATCATAAAAATTTTGTCAAAATGTTCACTGTAGATAGTTAATGCACGGTTTGTTGTGAAAATGTAGAAATAGATTACATGATATCTATTTATATACTGATCTGAATACACAAATTTTTATCTATTTGTATTCAAACAAAGATGTTTCTAATCAATGTATTTGTAATTCTTAGTTATTATATCTTTTTCTTGCAGAACAAGAACATATTATGATATCGTTCATCTATTTATAGATACAGTAGTCAATCTATAGATAACATATGTTTATAATATATAAGAAACAAGTGCTGAAAAGTAGAACGAGATCAAACAACACTACACATGTGTTCACATTAGAAGCATTATTATAATAAGAGAAACTATAAAAGACTGTTCACATTAGATAATAAATTATTCTCAACATAAATCGCTTCAATGAACTTGAAACTAGCTTCATAATTATAAGATGTTCATTTTTGAGAAGTATACGTAAGTATAAATATTATTTATAAAAAATAATAAAATCAAGTGCACTATATATACTTGTTTGATATTCGTGGTGTTATGTTCATGTGAGTAGAGTTTCGCACCTATTAACATATTTTGTTTTCTTTTTGCAATACTAAAGAATTAATCAAGTATAATTTTTTCTTTTTATAAAATTTTACCTCGTTAAATGAATTCGACGGGATATTTTATGGATATAAATAGTAAAGGTTATGTATGATTCTATTGATTTAGAGTGTTAGAAAGATATGTCTGTCATCTGCTAGAATAATAACATCTATCCTTTTCATTGTTAAATATCAAGGTAAATAAGTTCTTAGAAAAACAGATTGTCTAAACAAAACATATTTATTAAAATTGAAATAGAGAGATAATCTGAGTTTTATTTTATCAACAAATTCATAAATTTGATACGTTCACTAAGTTATGCAAAAAAGTATACTTATAATATGTAATATTATATCCATCTGTTCTAGACATTCGTCATTATTCTATATTGTAATAGTAAACTGGTATGTCTCTGACAAGTTTTAATTTCTATTTACTTAGTCGTTGTTTGATAAAAATTAATTAAATTTATAACCAAAAATTTTCTAATATTTGTCTTTGTTTTGTTGTTTTCTTTATGATCTTTTATTAAAGAAAATAAAATTTTACAATTTACACTTAAGAAAAAGAGAGTCAAACGAATAATATCAAATACATTGTCTTCGTAGTGTATCATATTTATCTTCTACCTATAAGCTTTCTTTTCTCTTCTCTCATTAATAGAACATACCATTAGTTTTCAACACTTGTTATTTTCTCTTAATTTTTTTTTCTGTGCACAAAACTATTGATCGACTGACTATCGATAAGAAGAGAAAAAGAAATCTGTTATCACAATCTAAATCGGATTGATCTTATTGGCTTAATTCTCATCATTCACCCTATAGTCCAAGTGCTTCTCTCGCTGCACTATTTTATTTGCTTCTTCGTCTCGTCTATATATGCGATATATATTATACATATATAATGGCCATATACTGTCTGCATGTACACATACACGTGTGTAGTACTGCCACCTCGTTGTTTGCTTGGCACTACTCTTGTTCATATGAATTGAGCCATAGATGAGTGAATGATTGAATGAACCAACAACGATAAATACAGCTTATATATTTCGCTTTCGTTTCTTTTAACGATGTCTGCTTTTTAAAACGAGACATGTTAAAGTGTGTGTGTATGTATATATATATATATATGAATTTTAAGAAGAGAAAGTGGTGTAAGTAAACGTATAAGAACGCTTATATTTCATATTGAAGATTTAAATAAACAGTATGAATATTAACAAACGGTCGACGACAATTCGATCATTTATTTGACTGGTGCCAACTGTGACACTATTGTTGTTTATTTTCTATTCAAGGTTATTTTGTTTCATATTGTAGATAAAGATGGAGATGATAGCCGATGTTGAAGATAATAATATTAATAATAATAATAATATATTTGATGAAATCGATGATGAAGATTGGATATTAGAAAAACCTATATCTGTATTTGCTTTGGATCCAGCTGATCGACGTGTTTTAAAAGTAGCTGATCAACGTGATGCTGTACAAAAGAAAACATTTACAAAATGGATTAATTTTCATTTATCAAAACGACAAGGTTTACATGTTGATGATTTATTTGTTGATTTACGTGATGGACATATACTTATATCTTTATTAGAATTATTTACCAATCAAACTCTTGTAAATTTTCTTTTTTTTGTATATTTAAAAAATAATAATTGTATATTTAGCCCCGTGAAAAAGGTACATCAAAATTTCATGCTTTACAAAATGTTGAACAGTGTCTTCAATGTCTTGAACAAGATCATAATGTATAGAAATTATAAAATTATTATCTTTTTGTATTTTTTTTGTTGCCTAAAATAGATTCGTTTGGTTAATATTCGACCAGAAGAATTAGTTAATGGCAATCCTAAATTAACATTAGGACTTATTTGGCGTATTATTCTTCATTTTCAAGTAAATTAATTTTTTGAAAAATTATTCTATTAAAATCATTTTTTTAGTTTTCCGATATAACTTTACCAACAACTGAAGAGAACATTCCAGTAAATATTAAACAAACTATAGCACCAATTACAATAATTCAACAACCGGCATCATCTTCACAAATTAAACCTGTGAAAATCTCTTCAATATCTTCTACAACTCAACGAAGACCATCATTTGATCAAATATCAACGAATTATCGTAACATGTTATTAATATGGGCTCGTCAACAATGTCAAGGTTATCCAGGAATTTATATTGAAAATTTTACACATTCATGGCGTAATGGACGAGCATTTCTTGCTATACTTCATCGACATAAGTTAGTTAGTTAGTTTTTTTTCTTTCATTTTAATTCTTATATCTTTTTTAAAGTCCAAAATTAATCAATATAAAAGATGCTTATCGTAATTCTCATCGAGAAAATTTATCTCGAGCTTTTGATTTTGCACAAAAGCATTATGGAATTATGCAATTAATCGATCCTGAAGATGTTGACACTGATGAACCTGATGAAAAAAGTATTTTATTATATATTGCACATTTATATAAAGTTTGTACAACATTACCAATTCATCCATTTCAACAAGAACATGATCGAGTATGTGTTGTTATTAAAATAGATTTTTGAAATATTTGACACATTTTTTTTTTTATTTTGAAGGTTAATCTTGAAGGTGAATTAGCATATGAATACACAAATTTAGCGTCGGATCTTCTTCAATGGATAAAAAT